AGCATAAGGTGCACAGCTGTAGTCAGGGTGCAGCTGGTTCCACTGAGAGAGGCGGGAGCGTCAGCTCATTCTTCCACCTCCATTGCCAAGCTGAAGTGGGGTCTGATGAGAATGGGAGCTGGCATTGGCTTGGGGCTGTGGATCAAGCAGCTCTACTGAGAGGGAGCGGGCTTCCATGCACTGCCGGGAAGCACACAGCCCGCCCCTGGTGGAGAGGGTCTTGCTTTGCTTGGCAGCTGCAGGCAGTGATCTATGGCCGTGCCCCCGTTCCCTCTTACCTCTCAGATGATTCCACTTGCCCTTCTCCACAGGACTTAGCACCCTCCCCCTAGCATCTCTGGAAGGAAAGCAGATTCCTTCTCACCCAGAGGCAGCAGAGGCCAGTAGAAATGTTTGAGATGACCTATCCCAGTTCTGCCACTCATAGCTGGGTCACCCTTACCTGGCTGAGCCTCTGTTTCATGTCTGTTAAATGGAGACAGCAACAATAGGTAGCTCACCGGGCTGTGGTGGGAATGCAGTTAAGTCACATAGGAGATAGGTTTGGGGATTTACAATAGATAAGCCCCCTTCTTCTCCTCTGAAATTCAGAACATGTTAGAGAGGTGGAGACAGAGAGAGGCACAGGAACCAGATGGGGATGAAAATGTTAGCTCTATTTTAAGTGGAGCTGGATAAGACAGCATGGCTTCATAAGCGGCAGATAGTTCGGCACCTCCAGCCTGAAGGTGCTGAGCAAGCCACAGGCAGAAGGAGCAATCCCTGACCCCTCTTCAGGGCAAGTCTCTCTCTGGGTGGAGGCAGCAGACAGGTGTCCAGCTTCTCACAGGAGGCAGGTACAGAAAGAGCCCTGGGGATGTAAGAGGGCAGCCTCTGGCTGCATCGCTCCCTGTCCCTTGGGTTGAGAGGGAGGTGTGTTCTCTAGAGGATGCTCCTCAAATGGGAACAGGAAATAGAAGGGAAAGGAGGTCCCTACCCAACAGTAGGTGAGGCATTGGCACAGTTCCTGGAACACAGAATTTAATGAATGGGCAAGGTCTTCTCTGCACCTCAAAATAGATCATACACATCACCATTTGTTTGTGGCAACCACCTCTGTGTTTACAACTCTCTCTGTCTCTCTCTATCTGTCTCTCTCTCTCTCACACACACACAGGAAATGCATAAATGAATAGTATATATGAATTATATCTTTGCCCAGTATGTATTAGTTTTCTATTGCTTCTGTAGCAAATTACTACAATAGCTTAGCTATTATTTTGTTGAAGGATCGCCACCCACAGGGTGCTTAAAACCCCACTAGTTTATTATCTTACAGTTCTGGAGGCCAGAAATCCTAAAATCAATGTGTGGGCAGGGCCACGTTTCTTTTAGAGACTCCGGAGGGATTGTCCACTTCCTTGACATTCCAACTTCTAGATACCACCTCCATCTCTTGGCTTGTGCCCCTTTCTGCATCTGCAAAGTCAGCAACATGGCATTTGCAAATACCTCTTCCTCTCTCTGACCTCTGCTTCCATCCTTAAGCCGTCTCTCTCTGAATCTGATCCTCCTGACTCTCTCTTTAAGGACCCTGGTGATTACATCTACAGCTCACCCAGATAATCCAGGATAACCTCCCCATGTCAAGTTTCCGAACTTAACCACATCTGCAAAGTCCCTTGGGCCATGTAAAGTAGGATATTCTGTGGTTCCCAGGATTTGCATGTGAACATTTTGAGGGTGGGGGCCTGTTCTTCTGTCTACCACATCCAGAAATTATAGATTAAAGCCATACTCTTTATAAGCATCGCCTTGTTCTAGGCAAAAGTAAAAGGGGTGTTTACTCTTATGGAATCTTGACTGATCCTTAGATAAGCTGCTTTCACCAACTGTGGAGGGGGCAAAAAGGATTATGTATGTTATACTTTGTCTCTAAAACATTGTAACATGAGTTAAGAATGAAAGCTTCAGGGCATTAGAGGCAGAAACTTGAGAAAACCCAAATCCTCTCCTGCTGTCCTTACTCACTAACCTGCCACCTGCACAGTTCTTCAAAGTCCCATCCCACAGGAGGAGGCTGAAAAGAGTCACAGAGGTGCGTTCCTATCATGGTATATGTACATCTCAGATGTTCTTCTTAAGCAAGAAGGAATCACATCTCCATAGAGAGACAGAACCTTCTAGAATGATACCTGCCACTTGTTATATGCCAGTTATAACAGGTGTTGTCCTGGATGGTTTCTCTTATCATCATTAAAATTTTTACAAGAACCCTGAAAGACAAAGTATTATTACCCTTCACTGGAGAACAGAGATTCTGAGACGTGAAATTGCTTTCCTGTGGTCACGCAGGTCACGAGAGGCAGTGCTGGGGTCAGAATCCCCACTCCAGACCTTCAGAACTGCTGCTTCTGCCATGTGGCACAGGCAGGCTGGGGGCAACCTGAGAGAACAGAGCTGTGTGGTGAACAAGGTCAACACAAACACACTCCATGGGAGCTGAGGGACTCTCTGGCAGAATGCACTCTTAAGTGTCCTGGGTGCTTTCTTATTTTACAGCAACCTCAAACTGTCCAATCAAATAAGCATCAATGTGAGCAGAGGTAGAGCTGAAGGCAGTCACCTTCCCACTCTGTCAACTGGCACAGGGGAAGAGCAGTGGCTTCGTGGCACAAACAGACTAAGACCAGCAGTATGTGTGATGTCCGGGCCTCCCCCGAAGGGGACAGGGCCAGCCTGGCAGGACCCTTGCAGGGCCTGGACTAGGGGAGAGGATCTGTGGGCTGATTGCTTGCCTTTTGATGCATGAACAAATACAAGAACAAATATGGCTTTGATTGCTGTTTTTATAACTGTCCCTCACTAAACTTAGAATTTTATGCACAATGGCTCTCTTCACTAATGTCCTAAGGGACATCTATAGCAGTGTCTCTTTGGGGAAAATTGAAACGAAGCAAGATGTGGTTGTGGGGAGTGAGGAGCCCAGAAGGAGGTGCTGGCCACAACATAAAAGGACTCACATTCAGTGGGATCTAGGACTGAGAGCCTCAGGAACATGAGCTGGTCAGGCCACAGGGTTCAGAGCCACAGCTGTGAATAACACAAATGTCAGACACCTTCACATGGGTGACAATCTGGCAGCCTGAGGGCATGAAGAAGGTCCCTAGAGAACTCTGGCCATTGAAAATCAGTGAATTTGGCTGATGACCAAAAACGGCTCTTATACTTCTGGAATCCAACCCCGAAGGTGCACTGGGAATCACAGTTACCTTCTAAAGGGGAGGAGATTGTATAAACATATTCAATGGACACAGGGTTTTCAGGATAACGTTAGCTTCAGTCACAGCCCTGAGAACTATAGGAATTAGTGGATTTGTTAGGCGCTACCTCTGTACACCATGAACATGACAGCAAAGGTTCAGGCTAATGATGGAGTCTAACGTTCACTCAAGTGAGGGAAACTTGACTAAATGGGTGTAGTGGGTTTCAGTGGCATTTCTCAGGATGCCTATAACTTTATGGAGATTTACTTTCTTCACAAAAATTTAACCATCCGTAGATATAAGTAGGTCCTAAATCCTCCCCGCAACACGTGAATAATTTTTGCTAAAAACTAGTAATAAGAGAAATCTATAGAAACAAGAACTTTATCCAGAAACAAAGAGCAAAATGCAAGAGTATGGCCAGCCAACATTGGACCTGACAGACTATGACCAATGTGCTCTAACATTTCTGCTGAATTGGGATCAAACTGTTCATAAATGTTCATAAGATCTTTTAAGGCAGAATTCATCAATTAGGACAATGTGGTTTTCTACCATTCAGCAAACTCTTGGTTTGAAGAAACAGCTGTGCTGGGGAGAAACCAGACATCATTTGTGTCCAGGCTAAAACCCTCAAAGTGAATACTGAAGAGTGACAATTCTCACCCAGTTCCTAACACCTCACAGAAGCATGGCCATGTTGGTTTGACTGGGGAGGAGTAGGAATCTTCGCAGGGTAGAGTGAATTGCCTGAGGTCATGCAGCTAGCTCAACATGGAGCCAGGTGGACAAACTCCTAATCAGTGATTGTCTGATGCCCACGAGGGTCAGTTAGGATTTAGGTCTAACCTCATGTGGCAGAAACCCCAACAGAGACCTCAGCCAGATGGAAGGTTTTCTGTCTCACATGAAGTAAGTTGCTAGGGCTGGCATAGCAACTCCAAGACCACACATCCTTGTTTTCCCAGGACACACTCAATATACGTGTGTTGTCCCAGAATAGTTATCAACACTCTCAAAAGTGCTCATGTTCGGATAATAAATTACAGAACCACTGTGGTCAGTGAGGGCACACGCTAACTCTTTCTAATTTCTGGGGCCAGCAACCGAACAATTGGCCTTCATCCCAAGCCAGGGGCTTTATGTATAGTTAAATACGTTGTTCATTATACAACTCTGGGGAAAATCTTTCTCCTTGTATGCATTGTGGATTTACTATGGCAATTTTGCAGTGGATGACAGGAAAGGATTTTGTGTAGTGGGGGCCTTTTCTGGTTCTCACAAAGTTACTGAGGGTTCATGGCAGTGCTGTTCTGAAGTCACCTAGTAATCCATAAAAGGCTACTGAGGCTCCAACCATCATCTCCACCATCCTGACACAGAAAGGAGAAAGGATAAAAATGAAAAAACAAAAACGGAAGCACACTTCCTTGATGAAAAGTTTTTTTAAAAAAGAAACTTCCTGGAAGCCCTGCCACCATTGTTGTTTTTATCTCTCTGCCACACTTAGCTGCAAGGAAAACTAGGAAATATAGCCTTTTAGCTGGGCACTCCCACTAGTGCAAGAGTTCTTTTAGTAATGAAGAAAGGGAAAAGGTGAGAGGAAGGTGAAAAGTGAGCATCCACGCCACTTCACCTTGGGACTCTGAGTTTGGCAGTGAAATCCAGAGACTACATTCTACCCAAATTTGATTTAGAAAATAGATTAAGTCCTTCCACTGACCACTTTCTCTTCTCGTTCTTTCCTGCATTCAGATTTGGTTCTATACCAACAGCATCTTTGGAAACGCTGGGATCCCTCCGGCAAATATCCCATACGTCACCTTGAGTACAGGGGGCACCGAGACTTTGGCCGCTATCTTCTCTGTAAGTCAACTGACGGTTACTTTTGAGAGTGCCACAGGGGGTTACATAGCACAGTGGGAATGTTCACAAGGTCCTTTCAGGCAGGGGGGTTCCCCATCAGAATTCATCAAGGACAACGTGGTTTTCTACCATTCAGCAAACTCTTGGTTTTAAAAAAAAAGAGCTCGGATGGGGAGAAACCAGACATCATTTGTGTCCGGGCTATTGACCCAAAACCTCCAGTGAATACTGAAGAGCGACTATTCTCACCTGGTTCCCGACACCTCATGGGACAGGCAACACAGCACTGTGGGAACCCCAGGCAACAAACTGGCATCCCTTTAAAGGATCACGTCCTTTGTTGTGCCAAAGGCATCTAGATTTTAGGAGTTCATCATGCAGTTCTTCGCTGACATTTTTCCCATCTAGAGAATATTCCTTTCTACGTTTTGCTTCCCTGTCATCTTCCTTTTAATAAATAACTCCATCCTTTGAATTCTCACCTAGTCACAAGTGATGGCATATAAATGTCCCGTGAAAGAGGACCATATTGTCCCTGGGAGTTCAGATTAGAGAATTGGTGTGAGTCTCCAATTTCTTGCCCTGACTTTAAAAAGGTTTCAAAACCATCTGCCATCTCATTACCCCAGACATGTGGGAGTTTGCAAGGCAAAAAAGAAAGAACATTCCTTTCAACCACGATAATAGACAGGAAAACTTTAATAATAAGCCAACATGTTCAAAAGAAGGCATAGAACTTGTCACTTTTTCAACCTCCAATATGCAAAACAAACATCTAGTGAAGAGGAAAGTTGGGTGGCTTCAGAGCCTAGCAGAAATTTCCAAATCTTGGAATCAGACCAAACTGGATTTGAATCCTGGCTCAAGCGCTTCTTGGCTCTGTAGCACTGAGCAGTGCGCTCAACATCTCTGAGCTTCAGCTGCTCTCTTTATGAGATGTTGCATCTTTTCTTCCTTGTAGGCATGTGGTCTGTGCCTCACATTTTTAGGCACGCAGCACACAGACAGGTTCCCTTCCAAATGGAAAGAGAAAGGCTAAAATTAGAGAGTTATATTCTCTGACCTTGATGGAATAGTTCATTGATTTCCACTCTTGCTCACTGATTTGCGCTGACAGATTGATGCCCATGCAAACAGGCAGAGGCTTGCAATTGTATTTCTGACTTCTCGTTGACAGAACACTTTACTTTGCACCTTGCACTTAATGGGTCATTCTAGCAAGATACTTTTTTTTTTTTAAAGTATCATTAAAAATGTAAAGGAATGATGTTTTGTCTCTTTCCCTTTTCACTTCACTGTCTTTTTGTTAAAGGAAAACATTTCAATGTTTCACGATCTGGAAATTTCGCAAGATTCATTCTTGTTATTCTCAAGTTATAGACTTCACCGAGTTTTGTTTATTTATTTTTACTTTGAGCAAGGGAAAAACACAGTCAGTCTGAGATGAAAATTATGGGGAAAGTGCAGGAGATTTTTGTTCTTGTTTTTTATAAAGTATTTTATTGGTATTGTTAAGAAATCAATAGCAGCTTATTAGGGCAAATTTGTAAAATTCAGAAAAATAGAGAGGAACAAAGAAGAAATTACCTACAATCATAGTAACCAAGGAAGTTTGGCAAATTCTTCCCTATCTTTCTATGCATAGATATATATTTCTTACACAGTAGCACAGTAATCCTATTCTAAATACTAGCTCTAATCTGCTTTTGTTCACATAATCTGATGTCAGAATGATTCCCTATTTTATTATTATTATTATTATTATTTTTTGTATTTTTTTTTAATTGCATTTTAGGTTTTGGGGTACATGTGATGAACATGCAAGATTGTTGCATAGGTACACACATGGCAGTGTGCTTTGCTGCCTTCCGTCCCCTCACCTGTATCTGTCATTTCTCCCCATGCTATCTCTTCCCACCTCCCCACCCCCCACCCCTCCCCCATTTCCCCCCAACAGACCCCAGTGTGTAGTGCTCCCCTCCCTGTGTCCATGTGTTCTCATTGTTCAACACCCGCCTATGAGCGAGAATATACGGTGTTTGATTTTCTGCTCTTGTGTCAGGTTGCTGAGAATGATGGTTTCCAGGTTCATCCATGTCCCTATAAAGGACGTGAACTCATCGTTTTTGATGGCTGCATAATATTCCATGGTGTATATGTACCACATTTTCCCTATCCAGTCTATCATCGTTGGGCATTTGGGTTGGTTCCAGGTCTTTGCTATTGTAAACAGTGCTGCAATGAACATTCGTGTGCACGTGTCCTTGTAGTAGAATGATTTATAATCCTTTGGATATATACCCAGTAATGGGATTGCTGGGTCAAATGGGATTTCTATTTTTAAGTCCTTGAGGAATCGCCACACTGTCTTCCACAATGGTTGAATTAATTTACATTCCCACCAACAGTGTAAAAGTGTTCCTATTTCTCCACATCCTCTCCAGCATCTGTTGTTTCCCGATTTTTTAATGATCGCCATTCTAACTGGTGTGAGATGGTATCTCAATGTGGTTTTGATTTGCATTTCTCTGATGACCAGTGATGATGAGCATTTTTTCATATGTTTGTTGGCCTCCTGTATGTCTTCTTTTGTAAAGTATCTGTTCATATCCTTTGCCCATTTTTGAATGGGCTTGTTTGTTTTTTTCTTGTAGATCTGCTTTAGTTCTTTGTAAATTCTGGATATCAGCCCCTTGTCAGATGGGTAGACTGCAAAAATTTTTTCCCATTCTGTTGGTTGCCGATTCACTCTACTGACTGTTTCTTTTGCCGTGCAGAAGCTGTGGAGTTTGATTAGGTACCATTTGTCTATTTTGGCTTTTGTTGCCATTGCTTTTGGCGTTTTGGTCATGAAGTCCTTGCCTACACCTATGTCCTGAATGGTTTTGCCTAGATTTTCTTCTAAGGTTTTTATGGTATTAGGTCTGATGTTTAAGTCTTTAATCCATCTGGAGTTAATTTTGGTGTAAGGTGTCAGGAAGGGGTCCTGTTTCTGCTTTCTGCACATGGCTAGCCAGTTTTCCCAACACCATTTATTAAACAGGGAGTCCTTTCCCCATTGCTTGTTTTTGTCAGGTTTGTCGAAGATCAGATGGTTGTGGGTATGTTGTATTTCCTGTGAGGCCTCTGTTCTGTTCCATTGGTCTATATCTCTGTTTTGGTACCAGTACCATGCTGTTTTGATTACTGTAGCCTTGTAGTATAGTTTGAAGTCCGGTAGTGTGATGCCTCCCGCTTTGTTCTTTTTGCTTAGAATTGACTTGGCTATGCGGGCTCTCTTTTGGTTCCATATGAAGTTTAAGGTGTTTTTTTCCAGTTCTGTGAAGAAGGTCATTGGTAGCTTGATGGGAATAGCATTGAATCTGTAAATTACTTTGGGCAGTATGGCCATTTTCACGATGTTGATTCTTCCTAACCATGAACATGGAATGTTTCTCCATCTGTTTGTATCCTCTCTTATTTCGTTGAGCAATGGCTTGTAGTTCTCCTTGAAGAGGTCCTTTACGTTCCTTGTTAGTTGTATTCCTAGGTACTTTATTCTCTTTGTAGCAATTGTGAATGGCAGTTCGTTCTTGATTTGGCTCTCTTGAAGTCTATTACTGGTGTATAGGAATGCTTGTGATTTTTGCACGTTGATTTTGTATCCTGAGACTTTGCTGAAGTTGTTTATCAGTTTCAGGAGATTTTGGGCTGAGATGATGGGGTCTTCCAGATATACAATCATGTCATCTGCAAATAGAGACAATTTGATTTCCTCCTTTCCAATTTGGATACCCTTTATTTCTTTTTCTTGCCTGATTGCTCTGGCTAGAACTTCCAGTACTATATTGAATAGGAGTGGTGAGAGAGGGCATCCTTGTCTAGTGCCAGATTTCAAAGGGAATGCTTCCAGTTTTTGCCCATTCAGTATGATATTGGCTGTTGGTTTGTCGTAAATAGCTTTTATTGTTTTGAGATACGTTCCGTCAATACCTAGTTTATTGAGGGTTTTTAGCATAAAGGGTTGTTGAATTTTGTCAAAAGCCTTCTCTGCATCAATCGAGATAATCATGTGGTTTTTGTCTTTGGTTCTGTTTATGTGGTGAATTACGTTTATGGACTTGCGTATGTTGAACCAGCCTTGCATCCCTGGGATGAATCCTACTTGATCATGGTGGATGAGCTTTTTGATATGCTGTTGCAATCGGTTTGCCAGTATTTTATTGAAGATTTTTGCATCTATGTTCATCATGGATATTGGCCTGAAATTTTCTTTTCTTGTTGAGTCTCTGCCGGGTTTTGGTATCAGGATGATGTTTGTCTCGTAAAATGATTTGGGAAGGATTCCCTCTTTTTGGATTGTCTGGAATAGTTTCAGAAGGAATGGTATCAGCTCCTCCTTGTATGTCTGGTAGAATTCAGCTGTGAACCCATCTGGACCTGGGCTTTTTTTGGGTGGTAGGCTCTTTATTGCTGCCTCGACTTCAGACCATGTTATTGGTCTATTCAGGGTTTCGGCTTCTTCCAGGTTTAGGCTTGGGAGGTTGCAGGTGTCCAGGAATTTATCCATTTCTTCCAGGTTTACTAGTTTATGTGCATAGAGTTGTTTGTAATAATCTCTGATGATGGTTTGGACTTCTGTGGAATCTGTGGTGATATCCCCTTTATCATTTTTTATTGCATCAATTTGGTTATTCTCTCTTTTCTTTTTTATTAATCTGGCTAGTGGTCTGTCTATTTTGTTGATCTTTTCAAAAAACCAGCTCCTGGATTTATTGATTTTTTGAAGAGTTTTTTGTGTCTCTATTTCCTTCAGTTCTGCTCTGATCTTAGTTATTTCCTGTCTTCTGCTAGGTTTTGAGTTTTTTTGATCTTGCTCCTCTAGCTCTTTCAATTTTGATGATAGGGTGTCAATTTTAGATCTCTCCTTTCTTCTCATGTGGGCACTCATTGCTATATATTTTCCTCTAGAGACTGCTTTAAATGTGTCCCAGAGATTCTGGTATGTTGTGTCTTCGTTC